CAGGGAGCCCGATACGGGACTCGATCCCGGGACTCCAGGATCATGACCTGAGCCGAAGGCAGTCGCTTAACCGACTGAGCCACCCAGGCGCCCTAAGATAGTTTTGATAGGGTTATTAAATGACTCACAAGACAAGGTAAACATAGAAAGACTAATCCAGCTCCGGGCTTGGCATTCAGTTTCTGTCTCTCCCCTCTTGGTTTTATCCTGAGAACAGAGGGGCAAATCTTCCAGCAGCCCAAATCACTGTACCAGCTTTACACCATGGCGTTCAATGACGGTATTTGCACGACCTAATGCTGATTGCATTAATTAGACTCCTACGTTGCTTTGATTAAATCTCCCCATTGCATTTACCCTCAATCAAAAATGTAAATGTGCACTTTTTCAATGTTTATTAATGCGAGAAAAAGCTAAACACTCACGGAGATGAAAACGGAAACTCTGGATGTCCTTGTTTTCCCGTGTCTTCAATAGCTACTGAAGGTGTTTAATAAATGGTCTGCTTAGGTGCTTCCTGGCCACTTATTAAGGTGTCCTTTGTCATGTTTCCTATGAGAAAACTTGGAAATCACTGCTCAAGTGTAAAATGAACAGCCTGCCTATCTTGCCTTTTGAGATAGACTGAATCTCATGGTCAGAACAGTGATGCATATTGTGCTTCTTTTTTTTCTTAGCTTTTGATGGAATGACAAACTTCATTTGGCTTTTAAAAAGGATCTTTTCTTTTCTTCAATTAAAGCTTGTGTGTGAAACTAAAATAAATATTTTTGGAAACTCTATCATGCTTAATAAATCCTCATGCCGTGTAGGGTAGGGACTGGCCAACATTTTTTTCTGTAAAAGGCCAGACAGTAAATACTTAAGACTTTGAGGGCCTGCCAGTCTCTGTCACCACACTCAATTCTGCCCTTTGGGCAGGAAAACAACCATAAACAATAGTAAGCAAATGGGTGTGGCTGTACTCCAAAAAGCAGGCCATAGATTGCCAACCCTGGATCTGAGGCACCAGTATTTAAATAGATGTTAAGCGGATGCTCAAAAGAATATGAGAGTTGCTCCACCTTGAAAGGGTCTATCTTGCTAGACCCATGGGGCCCTGCCTGGGAATCCACCCTCTGAGTTACAGAATATCATTGCAGCCCAAACTTCCCTTAACCAAACCTTGAGAGTCCACCACCCGTGAATTGACCCATATTTTCACAAATTCTGACTGAAAGAAAATTGGTCAAAAAAGTTAAACAGAACCAGATTTTTCTCTGAACTGTCTTTAATTGAATTCAGAACATCAGACCCTTAGTTTTTCTGCACGGTAATGTATGTGGTCACTGAGGACACGGTTCAGTGCTATTGGGGAGCAATAATAATTTTGCTTTCTCTCTGTGTTCTGGAAGGAATTTTTCCAAGAATGCCTCAGAATTTTGAGTTTCTAAACAGGTTGATTTTCCCCTCTTCCCTCATGCTCCATTCTCACTCTACAACCCCAATAGCCTTATTGAAGGATCCAGTTCGGGTATTTGTTTGTTTCTAAATAAGAGGCAATGACTATCCATTTTAAGAACTCAGGATGACTTTCTTCTGGTGCTATCGAGTTTGCCCCTCTTATGTTTGATATTATCTCACTAAATTATTGTTGGTACTACCTGCCCACAAAGTATAGGCTCACTTACAGACCCAATACTGCCTCTCACTCCTCTCATGTGTTAGTGTTGAATATATGTGATCGGAAGACAACGTATTTGTGTTATCTAAGGAAAATTTTTATGAATCATTATGATGATATACATTATTCCAAAATACACACTTTTTTTTTTAAGTAGGCTCCATGCCCGGCGTGGAGGGCATGGAGCCCAACCTGGGGCTTGAACTCACAACCCTGGGATCAAGACCTGAGCTGAGATCAAGAGTCAGATGCTTAACCGACTGAGCCACCCAGGCGCCCCTAAAATACACACTTTTCTTCATGAAGAGTCACAAGGATCTGTTGATGGTCACTGCTAGTTGACCCTGTATTAAGAGATTTCAGTAGAATAATCTTTTTGTGGTTCCAAACAACTTAGGAGACTAGTAAGGGATGTATGGTGAAACAGTTTATATTTTGTCTGGAGAATGTCAGTTTACCTTTTCTTTTTCTTTCTTTCCCCCTTTTCTTTTTTTTTTTAATTTATTTTTTAATTTTATTATGTTAGTCACCATACAATAATACATCATTAGTTTTTGATGTAGTGATCCACGATCCATTGTTTTCATATAACACCCAGTGCTCCATGCAGTACATACCCTCCTTAATACCCACTCTGAGATAACTCATCCCCCCACTCCCCTCCCCTCTAAAACCCTGGTTGTTTCTCAGGTCCATAGTCTCTCATGGTTCATCTCTCCCTCCAATTCCCCCCGCCCATTTTTCCCTTCCTTCTCCTAATGTCCTCCATGTTATTCCTTATGTTCCACAAATAAGTGAAACCATATGATAATTGACTTTCTCTGCTTGACTTATTTCACTTAGCATAATCTCCTCCAGTCCCATCCATGTTGATGTAAAAGTTGGGTATTCATCTTTTCTGATAGCTGAGTAATATTCCATTGTATATATGGACCACATCTTCTTTCTAACTGAGATAGAAGGTGACCTTTGTCTCTAAATTAACAGTGCAATGTTACAGCCTGAATTCATCATAAAACAACTGCACCCCTCCCCATAATTCCAAATTCAAGGCTAACTTCCCATATCAAAGCTAGCACAGACTCAGGAGGATGAAAACTTTACTGCAGTGTAGCCAGAGGTTAAAACCAAAGGGCCACATTGGCACTGTGGGGAATCAACAAAGCATATCCTTATGGTTGATAACTTTACAACATAATTGGATTGAGAAGTGTATACATATAAAAATAATAAGAGAGTAACGGTAAGATTTAATATGAGTATGTATGAAACAGAGTGGCAATCTCTGTGCATAAATGCTAGACCAAATACAATAGTACCAAAATAATTCAATTTAAGGAAACGATCTGTGCCACAGGCATAGCATTAGAAGGTATTAGGAAAAGTGAAACTTTAGAAATAATAAACTCGATATAAAATAATAGTATGGAATGTAGGTACTCGTAGTACCTGTGTTAAGAATATAATAAAGATTGGGTGCCTGGGTGGCTCAGTCGTTAAGCGTTTGCCTTCAGCTCAGGTCATGATCCCAGGGTCCTGGGATCGAGTCCCACATCGGGCTCCCTGCTCGGCAGGAAGCCTGCTTCTCGCTCCCCTGCTCCCCCTGCTTGTGTTCCCTCTCTCGCTGTGTCTCTCTCTATCAAATAAATAAAATCTTTAAAAAAAAAAAAAAAAGGAAGTCCTGCCCTATGTGACAGCATGGGTGGACTTTGAGGACATTACACTAAGTGAAATAAACCAGATCCAGAAAGACA